AGTGATTTTTCTATCACTGTAAACTTGCACTGCAGAAAACACACAGTAAACCTGAACTACAGAAAAGCTGATTAGCTATTTAATTGTTCTTTTTGTCCTTTCACTAGCTTATTACCTTAGCAAAGAAAACCTCCACACTGTGTTGCTGCTAGTCCTAGCTAGCAACTGTCCTTTTAGTTCTGTGACCATCAGTGCTTAGGTCTATAGGAACCAAACAAAACTGAAGTTACACTGAATTTTAGATACATAATTACTGGAGATAACTTTAATCTCTCTAATGCCTTTTTTTTCCTTTCCAGAAAAGAGCTCTGATGGAACAAGTAGCACACCAAGCAGTTGTAATGCAATTTATTATAGAAATTGCCAAAAGTTGTAATGTAGATCCAAGAGGCTGTTTTCGCCTTTTTTTCCAAAAAGCCAAAGTAAGTAAGTTTATGCACTTGTATGAGGTATTTTATAATTTCTTTAGCAGTTCTTTCTCTAGAAATAGTATTTTTATATAACTCCTGTCTGGAAAATGAGTATTTAGTGTGTTTTGTTTGTCCCAGTAGTAAAGCAAAAGACAGCGTGCTGGTGACAGGTATACTACAGAGATGTAATTTCTTGAACAGCAGCAAAAACTGTGGATTATTTTAAGAACTGTTTTGGTTAATTAGCCACTCTGTTTTCAAAACTGACCTGTGTGTTTCATCTGCATTTCACAGCTGGTCCCAAAACCATCCTCCCTTTCTTGATAATCAGCAGGGCAGTTTTGCTGTAAACTGCAGTCAATTATTCAAGACTCTGATAAGCCTTAATACAGCCTAAAGGAGTTCAGTTAAAGTGGGAATCAAGTTGTACTTTGCCTTTGATTGGGTTTTTACAGTGATCACCTGTTCTTCTATGGGAACTGACCTTTGAGTTGAAAAAAGGAATAGCTAAAATTAGTTGTTTTAACATGTCCTCACGTGAATGAATGACTTTGCTTCTAAACACAGATGCTATAAATGATCTTCAAAATATTTATTTCCATATAAACTGATTAACATGATTGCTGAATTTTTACAGTATTATCTCCCATAGAGTATGACATGCATCACTAAATGATATATTTTTTGCAGTGTGCATACTTGCAGCTCAAAAGTCCATGTGGCTTAAGTGATTCTTTTTCTTTTTTCTTCTCTTGGCAGACAGGGGAAGGCTATTTTCAGGCCTTCAAAAATGAACTTGAAGCATTCAAAACAAGAGTGAGAATCTGGTCACAGTCACATGGTTTTCAAAATATGTTACTACAGGATCCTAGTGTCTGTCCTGGTTTTATAGGAGAAATCACATCTTTGTCACAGGTAGACTTGCTTTTTCCAGAAATTATTATAAATTAGAATTAGATTCTGCTTTGGAAGTCTTCTAGAACTGCTACTATTCAGAGTATACTATGTGGTATTTTCAGTATGCAAGGATGCAGAAAATGCAGAAAACATCAGTATAAGGTCAAAAGCATATATTGGTTCAGTGTCCTTGAATGTTTTGTAAAAAATCACTGCATTCTAAAGCTGATCAGGTGCTATACACTTTTTATCACAAGCAATGTGAGTTTGTAGTCTAAAATAATCCTATTGATGGAATCCTACAGGTACGTTGAGTCCAAGGATAAAATTATATATATATATTTAATGATAAAGGGAATTGGGGGTACTTGGATTTCTTGCTTTAGTTTAGTATTAGTGATGGTCACATCTTTTACTGAAGGAACAAGTTTCAAGACTTTTTAAAATTGGCCGTTAAGTAGTTTCAATTGTGACTACTTCCTTATTTGAAATAATTTGGTTAAGTAAGTGAAGAGTAGAGCAATGCAAATGAAATATCAAGTAAAAGCTCTGCCAGATTAAATTTAAGGAGCCTCTTGACAGCTCTAATACTGGATGGTGAATTTTCAAGAACTTATTTATCTCCTCTTAAAATGGATAGGAGAAAAGTCTGACTTAAATTTTTTCTCTCTCTCTCTCTCTCCATATATGCAGTTATATAATCTGTCACTTTTCATCTGTTGCAGAATGCTGGTAGTCTACAAGATTCCATAAATACAAATATCTGCAGTTTAAACTCTGTGATACAAAGAGATGACGAGGAATCCAAAATGATGGACACAGTATAGTACTGTTAAGACTGAGGCCAAGTATTTTTTTCTAAAAAAAAAAAAAGAAAACAAAGGAAAACATGGCTATTTTCTTGACGTTATTTTTCTGGGTACTGCACTTTATTTTTAGTCTGATTTTTTTTGTTGTTGTTTGTTTGTTGGGGGGAGAGAAGGGGACTTTGAAGAGTGGGTAATCCAGAAACACTTGTAATATTGTTTGAAAATGTGCTGCTAGGTTTTTGGTTGTCCTTGAAGAGCAGGGTTCTCATATATTGCCGAATGTGAAACTGGATGTGTTTTCTGCTACTAACCTTGCCTTTCATGACTTTAGAAATCAAAGTACGATAAAGGAAAAAATTCTGCACAAATACAATGTTTACAAGAAGTGGTAGATTCTTGCTAGAATCTGCTATTGTCTTATTACAGATGTGGACATGTCTTTATGAATATTGGAGATCACAATTGTATTCATGCTACCTTGCTGACATTATAAGCTCTCAAATCTGGTTATCACTTATAGCAATAAATCAGTATCTGGTATCAGTATTTCAGACTTGGATGGATTAGATTAAAACACTGGCTTTCTACCTCTTCTAAGGGGATTTAAATGTTACATTGTGCTTTCATTAAAAAAGAAGTCCTAAAATTCAAGTAACGCTTGTCTGTTTGAGCAGTGGGTTTTATAATCTTTGAGAGTCCAACTCCCCTTTTAATTCTAAAAGGAACTTCAGATTTTTTTTAACCAAATCCCATTATAGGGAGAAGTATTTGAAGACGATCAAGGGGACTTAAGGTACTAGGTTTAAGAAAGCTCTTCGTTTGCAACAAAAAGCTTTATGGCAGTTCACCTAGGGGTGTCTTACCGAATTTGAAAGTTATTTCATCTTCTTCTAAAGCTGGTTTCTGTAACTGCCAACTCAAGCATTGGGAAAGAGAAATATTTTTAAAGCTTGCTGTTTTAGGAGTCGGAAGAATAAACCATGTTTCCAGAGGAGGCCTTCCAGGAACCTCTGCAATGCAAAATGCTACCATGCTTTTTCTACCTTGCTACAGCATTTTTTTGTCTACAAAATGTATATTGCGGCTGGAATACTCCAGTGGACAGAGCTTCTAGCTCAAATAGTGGGATGGATCCTTTATTGCTATGACTGTGGTAAGGTGTACAATGTATCCAGTGTAGATACCCAGTGTATCTTTTGGCCAATTTTGAAAATAGCTCCTGCTATTTCAGCTGTGCACTATAGCGGTGATATAATGAAGTCTTTAGTCTGTAGTGCATGCTGCAGAAGTATTAATACATATGCAGCAGCAAAAATGGGGGCTGCTTATCCACTGGTAGAAATGCCTCTTTTTAAGGCAGTCTTTCCTGGTGCTTTTGTTCTCTAGCAGTTCTGATGCACACTGAGGATAAAGGAAAGGCAGCAGCTCTATTAGCTGCAAACTGCAGGTAAGTGGCTTCAGTAAAGTGTATTTAGTTATGTCTGACAGGCACTCCAGAGAAAAGTAAAAACTGCACTCTCCATAATAATTAACTTAATTACAGGGAACTAATAACCTAAGGTGATCTGTTAAGTGCATCCCTCCCCTAAGTACAAGGGTAACGAGGCCTCTGTAGCACAGTGACTCACAATTATCAACACAGTTACTGATACAGTTGTTTTGATCTAGCAGTTCCTGGTCTTTTAAAAGTTATTTTCATATTTCTAGGGGCTAATGCTTAATGATTTGTGTGGAAATAAGTCTCAAATCATACAATTTTCCCCCAGCCTAGATTAACCTCCATGGGCTGTTAACAAAACACAGCCGTTTCTATGGAAATCAAAAGGCATAAATAGAAGGAAGCGGTAGATCAGGGTATTATGCTGGAATGTGGCTGCCAATCATTTCTAACCTTGATTTTTTTTAAAGTTATTTCTAAACTCAGTCTGCAGCTATGATGTAGACATTATTGAAGATGAAAAATAGCAGCTGAATTGGTAAGTATGGCTATGGAGATACGTGATTCCAATTATCCAGTGACTATATAGACATAGGTATGAGAGCTGGTCAAAAAGACATGAACCAGTACTATGAACTCACATAAACCATATGAACTAAGTGCTACTTAATGAAACTTAATACTCTAAGCAGTCTTATGACACTAATTTGACTGCTGGACATCCTGACACGATTATCAATCAGCAGTAAGGGAAAAGACACTGATTTGTATCCCTGTCTATTGGTAACCTACTTGTATTGCATTGGTTGTACCAGGCAAGATTGATTAGTTGCACACTTCACAGATGATAGTTAATCTCTTCAATTTTTGTTCTCTTTCTACTAATAATTCTATGCAACGGCACAAATACAGAGGATTTACCAAATATGCTACTTTGAATCTTCTGTTTCTCACACCTGCAAAATAGCTATACTGAGGGCACAAAGATGAATGTAACAAGGATAAGGCAGTCATAAGGATAAGGTGTCACAGATAATTTACACAAACATCAGTTGATCCTGTTCAGCGTAAGCAAAGCTAAAGAAAGTGAGTTTTTCATGGTGTCACCCTAACTCTATGCCAGTTCCTGTCTTGAACTGCTTTTTGCAGAATAGTGTTTCCCATAGGTTCTGGCTGACCCCAGGTAATCAAGTAATTGAGAAACTTGATTTCCAGTCCTTATCTTTACTTTGCATGATAGTTCATGAAGGAGTGTTTCGTAGGTAGGCTGTTTTCAGAAATATTTCCTATATGACTCAAAATGTCTAGCCATGAGCATTTTCTGATTGAGGGAGACATGAGTAGTTTTTTTGGTAAGTGTATTATAAAAATCAGACATTTTTATATAAAACGTATAGAATTAAAGTGGGGATCACAGGAGACTTAAAGCATTACCACCACATGAGCTGAGGATGATATTAGATTTTAATTATTGATCAGTATGGCACGCTAGTAAGTGAAATCCTTGATTGCTGAATCTCATGTAATCAATTCTGTGCTATGACAGATGGGCAGAAGTTAGCCCTCATTTCACATGGGGGCAGCAGCATCTTTCTGGCTCACATCTGGCAACTTGGTTTGGAGGAAAGCATAGATATGTGGCCAGATCTTATTGGTCTCTGTTCCAGAGAAGGATTTCAACAACCCTTTTGCCCTAAGGAAGAAAAAAAAATACAAAAGTCAAATTTTCTATTCCTTCCAGGATCTCTACCTCATTTTTAAGGGTACTCTAGCAGAAGTGTGTCAGTACAAAATTGATTTAGATCTAAGAGCAGCTAGAACACTGGGAACTAGGTATGTATTACTGTTTCTCATATGGTGAGACACTGATTCACACTGCCACACTGATTCAGGAAACTGGCAGCTGTACCTAGAGCACTTATTTTTACCCTTCATAGTTGTTAATAATGATGCAATCCAGTTGTAGAAGACACATAGAGGACACGCTCAAATAACTGAATAAGCCAGCTATTATAAAGTTGTTATACCCCAGAGCTCAGGGAAATACAAAGGTACATCAAAACAAACATGTGAGACTCAATCAAGTTGTTCTGAATTATTTCTAGTAGCTTAAAATTTTGTAAAACCTGCTGTTGTCAGTAAGAATAGTTTAGACCTGCCTCTTGCTTTGAGGCTTAGAGGCACTTTCACTTCACAGTTACTGAAATCAGGAAAATCACTGACAACCCAGAATAGTCTTTCTCCAAAACTTAACCACTTCAAAGACAGAGCATTTAATCTTCTACTTGATCAACATGTTAAACAGATCAGGAAGAGAATATAACATTGCAGTTTCCAAAAAAGGTACTGTGACTCTCACCTTACTAACAGAGGTTTGTTGCTCAAATCATACATAATGTATTGAATAATGTGCAGGACTCTGTAAAGCTTCATAGGGCTGCAACAAAGAGCTTGTTTGCTTAGCTGACTCCCTGAAGAGGTTTCATGCAACTAAAAGTGGGGAGCTTATTTGTTTTGCAGTTTACATTTCTTACTGAATTGATGGTATATATGTATGGCTACTTATATCATGGTCACATTTGTAATACTTCTGCAATGGAAAAAAAGATTTGCTCCTTGCTCTGCTAACACAGAAGGAAGTATAGTGTTTTACTACTTACCGGTAATACTCCAGAACAGGTTTGGTTTGTGCGTCGTAGGCCTGCAGTCTCCTGGTAACCGTCTCTGGTTTGTCATCATCACGCTGAACAAGTGGCTCTCCAGTGATGTCATCAGTGCCCTAATCGCAGTTAAAATCAAACACTGATTTTTTTTTCTATTTACACTTTTCTTTTACATCCTCTTTAAATCATCATCACTTTCCAATTAGTCAAGGAATAGATTTCCGTTTAGGAAGACTACCATCCATATCTTATCTGACATTAGAGGTCAGTTTTAAAGTTTCTCAGTTAGAAATATTTTCTCAGTTTTGGCTATGAACATCACATTGTAGAAATATGTTAATTTCATTGCATTGTGCACCATAACATTTGTTGAATATTTGTTGAATGTAAATGTTTAGACAAAACACACAGAAATAAGGGATGACTGTTGGGAATTGTTCCAGAGGAAGTTTCTTGCAAGCACAAAACCAAATAAAACATAAAAATATTCTCCTGCCCTGCCTGCATTCTGGCAGTCAGTTTCAGAAAATCAATTACTATTGTTATTAATAAACTTACCTACTCAGGAAGGTGTGAAGAATATTTATTGCAGAACATATATATTAGATATGCATTTGTATTATCACTCTTGCCTTGTTTACATAATAGAGTGATTTAAAATGATGAGTTTAATTTTCTTATATTAAATTTCTTTAGAGTTTCTTTCTGGTGTTTGCATACTCAGTCAATAGGTACAAGGAAAGCAATAGTTTAAGTATTGAGCATTGCATAAATTCTAAAACCATGATCTTTAATCTTTTTGGCTTCACTGAGAAAGTCAACATTTAAGGGTTTTGAAGATATTAAGAGGTCTTACTATATAGTAAATGCAACTGTATTTCAGCTGTTCAGCTCCAATTCATAGTTTTACTTGAATACTTCAAATTGCTTTACTGTGTTGTAGAATGCATACAAAATAATGAAAGGTAAAGTGAAGTGCCCGTTACAGGAAAGCTGCTACAGCTGAATCCCACTCTCTGCGGTACTGGTTGATTCTCTGTTGCTGCTTGCCTTGTTCCTTCTCAATTAAGAATAGCCATGAATCAAATGCCATGTTTTAAGCTATACATAAGCTCTATGGATAGTGTGCTTCCAGTTGCTCACTTCTAGTGCTTACCTATTATTTTAGCTGGCCTTTTATCCTGCAACATTGAAATCACAAAACTTTTTTCAGGTAACTGCTCAAAACTTCTTCAGCTAAAAGAGCCTCCTATGCTTCTGATGTAGCATAACAGAGCTTCCAGGAGAGAATGTGATGCAACAGTTAAGTTACTTATAATTAAGGATAAAATTCAACTTAAGCTCATTTTCATTATGGCTAGTCTAAGTAAAAAATTTAAGGTAGCTATGTACACCTGTTATCTCTTGAAGATATCTAAAGCCCAAACTGTTGTTGTTGTTGTTTTTACTTGTTTTCTGAGAAGTTTCTCTAATTTCTACATCTAATTTTGCAGTATGACAACCTGCCCTGGTAAGTATTAATATAGGGAAAACATTAAGTGGATTCTTCTGCTGTATATATACCCAGGAAATATACTGAGTTGTGAGCTACTAAACAATGAGTCCTGTGAAGGAAGGAAAAGGAAACTACATTTTGGACTGTACAGGCTTTGGGGCTGCAGTAATAGACCAGGCTAAGAACTGGCCTAGCTAATACGCCAGTGTACAATGCTGGGAAAGGAAAATCTCCCAGACCAGTTAACCAGTTAACCATATTAACTAGAGCCTACAAGGCAGTTGTTGGAGTTGGCACCACAGTATTTCATTCTGCAGGGGAGAAGCAAGTTGCCCTCCAGCTGATGGGCACTATGATAGCAGGAGAGAAGGCCTGTTATCGAGGGAGCTTCTGCACACTTAAGAGATAACATGAGCCCCCTTCTTCTGAGCTATCATTTCTTGCAGCAAACAATGTTTTACTTAATTAACTACATGCATTCTTTTTAAGCACCAATACTAACAATGTGCATTGCTTACCAGTACTTTGGGAGGGCTGAATTCAAGATTGTAGACTCTGCCACTAGCAGGGTGGATCCAGCGTGCAGTGAGACGGTACTTTATGGTCTCAAATGGCACATCTAGGTCAATCACAGTGTCTATTTGACACTGTTTATCCAGGGCTTCTGCCTGGGCAACCGTTCTAGGGAAACCTTTAAAGAAAACATAAGCCAATAAAAAATGAAAGGTAGAGTTACAATAAGAATTAACTGGACTCGATTTATTAGAGGAAAGGTGGTCAGGCACTCAAAAGCAAAAACTTGATGTGTGTAAAGGTTGAAGAAAAATCACATTTTCAGGATATTTTTTGGTACATCACTGTACTCTAATTTGTTAATCTCCCAGCTTCCACCTCCTTATTTCACTTAATCACCCCCTCAAAAGTAAATACAAGCAAAAAGGCCCCACAATTGAAAGTGTTCCATATCAATTTGCTGTGCTGAATAAGAATACTGAATACATATTTTATGCATCCAATTAATTAATCCAGTTGTTACTGTGGAACAATAACAGCTAGTTTTTTAAGGCACTTCATGGTGAGAGATCTCGAACAATCTGGAAAGTTGTGACAACTCTTTCTTCCATTCATCATGTAAAAGTCTGAATTAAGTAGTTGACCATAATAAACCTGTTTTATTCAGGCATAGTAAACCCAGTGTATCTATCAGAGGCAGTCCACGATTAATTTTGCATCAAACAGAAGCACTAGGAAGATTTTAGAATATCTAGTGTCTCAGTCAATCTTGTAGGACAGTGAGAAAACTCAGGCTGCAAAGAAAACTTTTTCTGAACACACAAGGCAAGACATGTTGCCCTATGAACTCTGTGGCTCTACTGGAGTGCTTCTAAGGGCACATACTGTTAGCAGATAAACCTAATGCAACTTAAGAAGCAATTAAAAAAGAATAGGAATAAGAAAATGAAGCTCTTCATACAGAGTATGATAATAATCAACCAAAGCAACTGTAATGGTGAAAGTTTCTCCAGCACATGCTGCTGCACAGTAAGTTAACTGGAAGAATTTTTCTGTGCACAGACCTTTTGCGTAAAGCCTTAGCTCTTTAAAATGTTGAGATTTTTATTGTACTATGCAAGTAAACATCCCCCTAAAGACAAGTTCTGATAGATAAAAATAGGTTAAAAGGTAAAGAAAAAAATGAGGAAAGTCTTACTTGATACTTATATCAAGTAATACCATCAATATTTATTGATAATTCTGCATAAGGAATTAGCCAAAAGAGTCTTACAACAGAAAAAAACAGAGAAGGATAATTTAACATCTTAAGGGTACTATGTCTTCTTTAGCACATCCCACAGAGCAATTAAGTGTGTTACTTTTCGTGGATCTGGTTTGCATCACAGTCATCAACTGCCCTCACTCTACTTCTCTCAGGTTCATATAATCTTGTAGAAGTGCTTCTAAATGTCAGAAGAGGGTGAGCCAAGACTTAAGCACTGCTGGATTTTCTTGCTATTGACAGGCTATTTGATCACCATGGACCTTATTTATGCAGTTGGAAAATGGGCCTGTTTTGAGACTTAATGAAGAGGAAATTTATCTACAAAAGAAAGGGTCTTTAGAGAAGTAAGTCTTTGAAACTTATGGCAGAGGTTGTTGCTTACAGTGTTTCCTTAATACACAGAAAGCTGTTCACAAAACTTGATGAATTATTAGGAATCTAAACACTCTAGAAAAAAATGCCCTAGTAATATAGCAAATAAATTTAAGCAGCACGTCTGTATGCACATGACTCAGATTCCAATACTCACTATGACTCTACAGGACACACAGCAGTGTCCTACACGCACATTTCTGCAGAAATTACAGAGCATTTCCTCTAAGCAGTGGAAATGTGTATTTTGCTAAGTAAGCATACAAGCAGCTTAGTAGCTCCACTTAGTCTGACCTAGGTTTTTGTGCAGCTGTGGTTATCAAACTAAAGATTTTCTGGTTAACTTACTTCAGAACAATACTCTTTCTGTAGAGCTGATTATGCTCTGAGTCTCTGTGAATGTTGGCTCAGAAGATTTCTCTTCCAAAAGTGCATATTAGGAGGCACACTAGCATGCAGGAGAAATGGATTTCTTCTCTTGCATTCTCCACACCATCCTCCTGTTCAGAGAGCTGTCAGTGCGCTCAGCTGTGATGCAGCACAACCATATCCAAAGTTAGAGCTATAAGTACTTGGGAGCCAAAAGTGAGGGAAAATATCTGCAGCTTTTTGGTTTATTGAGTAAGTTTCACTGTGCTGTGCACTAAAGGGATAAACTATTTGTCCTCACTATTTTAGAACACAACTGGAAAAAAAAGCAAAGGCAACAGATCACTACACTAGAAGCAATTATAGTAAAGGGAAAGGGGACAAGGAACACTGTGGATTTTTTTCTTACTTTAAATAAAATGCTACACCGATGACTTTCAAGTTTTATCTAGTAAGACAGATTGTCACTAGGATCTGAAAAAAATTCTCATCCAGCCCAGACATTATCTTTGTGTCACACATCCAACTGTGCTTCCCCATGGCCTGGCATACTGGGGGCCACTCATGCCTCTTACAACTATGGCAAAGGCATTTTCTCTCTCGTTTATTGTGCGCTCCACTGTTGCAGGACTCCCTTTCCATACTTACCTTGTCACCACATACCTGCCTTCCTCCTTACATGATTCAGCTCTTTTCTCTTACAATGTCCCTTTCTTTGACAAGAAAAGCCTTTGGAAAGAAAAGGCTTTAAAAAGGAAACTTCCCTATGATTATTTTGAAGGAAGTCTTTGTTCTTAAGGTGAGAATAAAGTTAAGAGTTATCAGACTTGCCAGTTTCAAAACTCTCCTGTAGTGCTCAGCTGTGGGGTTTTTCAACGTGAATTAAACTGTATCACTCCAAAGACAGGACACACGCCATGTCTTTGGCAGCCAAGGGGGCAGACTGAATACCAAATGTTTCACATGCTGCCAACAAATACTGCCCAGTTCCCAGGGCTCCGGGACAGCTACTGGAGTGTGACAACCGCTGAGCAGCCAAAGCAGCCCGAGCTCTGCAGCGCAGGTTTCCAGCCCCTCTAGCTTACCGTCCAACAGCCAGTCGTATCGCTCTAGGCCCTTGAGCTCGCTCAGCACCATCCGCGTCATAACATCATCCGGAATCAGCCGCCCTTGATCAATGTAGGACTTGGCAAGGATTCCAACTTCTGTGAAAGCAGAAGAGGTCATGTTACAGTACCTGTGACCTCCAGCAAGACAAAAATAAAAATAAAAAAAGGCACAATGCTTCAATTTGTTTTGATCGACACGACACAAAATGGTGTCAGTCTAGACAGACAAGGCAGACAGAACAACTTTCGCTGCAATTCAAAAAGAGGTGATTGGTCAGAACCTGATCTTACGAATATCTATCATATTAATTTAATTCTGCTAAGGGCAACAATATCCCACACGCCCTTCAAATAATTTTACTTTTAAGTATTTGAAATATGAGATTCCAAAACCAAAAATGGGAGACACCATTAGGTAAGACTTTAAAACATGAAACAGAGTGATTCAAGTGCTTTAAGATATCAGCCTGAGACTTCCTGCAGGGAAAGTTTATATGTTCTCAGTAAAGCACAGTGGCTGGATATGATCCTAAGACTTCAGGAGGAAGTGAAACCCACTTGGCATTTAGGAGAGCAATACACAGTGGGATATGCTTGGCAGAGAAGTATTTTCACAATTACCGAAATTGCAAGAGGATGTTTATAAGCGTTGTGAACTGTTTATGGGAGCGTGCAGACACTTGTATTTTCCTGTGGAACTGACTACCTCTTAGTAGCAGTCATTTAGCCCCCCGGCCAGCCAAAATGCCATGCAGGCATCTCCCTCCCTGGTACCACACTGTGTCCCTGCACGACAGCACCAGTGTGCTGTAGTTCACACAAGCTGAGGTGTGAGTTCACACATCTGTGAAGGGATTCATCTGCCTGGGTTGTCTTCTGGGCTCACAGCACCCACAGCCTTGATCTACACAGCTGCACCTAATTCCCTAAGTCACACAGAATAGCAGCTAGATTGGTTTTAATTACGGATATGCAACAGTTTGCTTTTGGCTAATTCAGATCTAGTTCCAATACATCAAACAGGAGAGAGAATGGGATGGACCCACATTACCAATCAACAGAACTGCTTTTAGCAGAAGACAACAACTGTCCCACTTGAGGCACTACTGGAAAACGCAGTAGTAGAACGGCCCATCTTTAGACATGGCAAGTGGAAGCCAGTAGATGCACACAAGTAATACAGAAAGCTGCTCTGCTGTTTAAAACAAACAAATAAATAAAAATAGTAACTTGACTGGTGCTCACATCCAAAGATGGACTCTGAAAAATCCTGAAAAACAGTTCAGAAACAGACCAGGCATGCAGCAGCATGGCCTCAAAAAACTGACACAATATGGGGGAGAATCAGTCTTCAATGCTAAAAGTTGCAGAATATCACAAACTGGAAAGAGGATGACAGTGCGGTCTGTACAAAGGAATTTTCTTTTTTTTTTTTCTGTACCTCATTTCTTTGATGTTATCAGGTTGAACCTCTTTTACTACTCCAGTGCCCTTAGAACTATGTACCTCCAAAAGCAGCTAGGAAGAAGAAGAAATTACTCCTAGGCAGCTAAACGTGCCCTTGTTACTCAAATCTGTTACTGATTTACACTGCAGTATTGCCATAGCCATGTTGACCTAAGAACACTTGCAAGGCAAGTTTCATAGAAAAATGTCATGCTTACACACTGTGGAAAGACAGATGAGCTTAGGAGCAAGAGGAGGACTACAACATAGCAATACCTAAGGCACACAGGTCCTATCACCGGGCTAACACCATGTGCAAGCCCTACAAGCCTCAGGCCTCTCACAGAGTCAACTATTACAACAGGAAAAAAAAACAGTCACGACTCTTCCTAAAATAGTTACAATGCAACAAAAAAGTTTATTCACCAGACATTTTTTTTCTCTTATGTGTGGAAGCAGGAGAGGGGGATCTCCTGGAGTTTTGATCTGTTCTGTTTTGCTGTTGTGCAGGTGGGTCTGAGGCCAGTACAGGCCTTGACATGGCAATCTTTGTACTTGAAGGCAACACAGTTCTCCTTCCTGCCCAGGTGATAAAAGGTATCTCTATTTGCAGCATTTGCAGAAGATTAACATGAGCAAACAGGCCCCGGCCCTGCTGAGCCAAGAGCCTGGGCAGCGCGAGGAGAGCTGGTGGCAGCGCGTCCTCGCGCCCTGCAGCGCAGCCCGGCGCGGAGGGGAAACCGCCGAGGTCTCGCGCGTGCGCAGTGGGACTTTTCAACAGGCAAAGTCCCTGCTCACAAGGAGGCAAAGGGCATCTAAGTGCCCAATACATCTAAGTGCTCAATTCAGCCCAGCAGTTGCTGAAGTACTGGGAACTCCCCTACCCTTAGTGGAGGATATTCTCTCCTATCCTTACCATGACCCGTACCCTCCTTCCCTGGACGAGGACAGAGCTCTTCTGCAGGCCCTCACTGCCCCTTCCTCCTTCAGAGCATCCACCTGCTCCCACCACCAGCATTCACCTCAGCCCCCTGGAGACCGCTCGTGCCAACAGCGACACCTCCAGCCACACCAGGGCAGCGAGCAGCAGGCGCAGCCACCTCCAGCACCCTCCACTGGCTTCTCTCCCCACAGAAGGGTTTTTACTACACCAATATCATTTTGTGAACAAATAACATCGTCCATCTCCTCAGATGTCTTCCTGTCTCACTAGGTCTTATTTATGTTGTATTTCTTGAATCTTTTTTGTCTCTATACAACCTACACTAACACAAACACACAAGAAAGGAAGAAGTGTGAACATATGTCAGCCAAGCTGGTGCCCTTAGCCAATATTTAACCCGTAGGTAACCAGCTATAGCAAAGTCAATCTGCTAAACCAGTGTCACTGTTCTTAAAGAGCAAACACACTTTGTGTGAAAAGAGATGTGGAAATCAAAAGCAACATTTCACAATACAGATAAACTTTCACCTTCAAACAAGTTTTAGGCTTTCAATCCACGACTATCAGTAACCTAGCTGTGATAGCGCAGTAATAGCCACAAATGAACACAGCTGTTCGCAGTTTTAAAGCACTGGAAATGAACATGTTCAGTCTGTGATGAAGTACGTTCTTACACCCTGTCATAAGGAAAAGCAGAGGAGCAAGCCAGAAGCAGGCCTTGGAACAATGCAAAATAAAACAGAATACATAAAATAAAACCAAAAAAAAGCACAAAAAATAAAAACACAAAAAATAAAACACAATAATAAACACAATAGCAATAATAATAATAAACACAACAATAAACACAAATAATAAAAATAAAAACACAAATAGATACAAATGAAAAATACAAACAAGCAGGGAGGGTATTCTGGAGTGTCTCAGAAAGCTGCTGGTGGTTACAAATGACATCACTCCTCGGTAACTGCAAGGCTGTATGCAAGCGGAAACCACACCGAAACCAAAGCACAGCAGGAACTTGTTTATTATGATAATTGAAAAAAAAAATAAAAATAAGAAGGCAAGTTTGACTTTGAAGTCTCTGCCTGCCGAACACACGCACATTCGGTGAGTTTGCTGCCTGCGCACGCTGCCAGGCCAGGCCAGCAGCCCCCGGGACCCCCGCGCAGCGCAGCGCGGGGCCGGGTGGCACTGGGAGAAGCGTTAGGACAGCGTTGGGACAGCGTTTGGAGCAGCGCTGGGGGCGGCGTTGGGGCTGTGCTGGCGTTGCGTTGGGAGCAGCGTTAGGGCAGTGTTGGGGGCTGCGTTGGGGGCGGCGCTGGGAGCAGCGTTAGGGCAGCGTTGGGAGCGGCGTTGGGAGCAGCGGTCGGAGCAGCGTTAGGGCAGGGTTGGGGGCAGCGTTGGGGGCAGCGGTCGGGCAGGG